TGTAGAAGTGAGAGGGTTACATAACACCTTGCTCGGTCAGGTCGGACGGGCTAGTTTGTCGACTCTTTCTTGGGTTTCTATAGTTGAGCACCAAGGCGGATCTCGCTCGACTTTCTTTTTTCATATTTGACGGAGATTTTTTTTGTGATATTTATGATGGGTATTTGGAGAGCTGAATTTCGCGTGTCGGTTGTAATAAAAGGGGAAGATTAGACATTGGGGAGAGAAACCAACATTCTTCTGTCTTTCTGGTGAACCTTCCTTCGACCGTCATATACCATTTGCCAACTTTCTTCCACGCCAGCTCTCCTTTTCCCCATCCGTCAACCGTCTCGTTCTCTCTTCGTATTTGATTCCTTTTCATCGTTCTTCTCTCCTTAACGACTGCAAATTTAACGAGTTTCTATCTCTCTATTATCTATCTTCAACACATCACTCGCTTCTCTCTGTGTCTTTGTATCTCTCTCATTATCAGTCTCTCTCTATAGAATGTTGACGGCGTAGATCTAGGGTTTGTGTATTGTGTTGGGTTTTTGTTATGTTGGTACTAGTTGATATTCATTTTGGTTGACCCAATTTGACCTTAACTTGGTGTGAAAAACATGCACTACACACCTGCGGGTCGACCTACAACAAAAAAAAATTATGATTGTAGGTCACACGCAGTTGTTTTTTCCTTTGTTTTGCGAAATGCGTCATCTTTTTCTATTTTTCCTTTCATCTAACACTTTGAAAATCTAAGTTGAACATTTGAATATTTATATTATATGATGAGTGTGTTTGAATTTTCACTATATGTTGGATCCAAATACGAACTGTTATTTTGATATAGTGTTATATGTTAATATTCATATAAATGGATAAACACATTATAATAAAATTTTCGTATATCCGGACTAAAGCGATCGAAACATTAGTTCTCAATCCACTTGCTTCACTAGACCAATGAACTAAACCAGATTGACAACCTTCCATGAATGTCACTTTTTCACCCTTGTTTAAAAAAAAGAAAATCTAACCTCATTAATTATATTTGTATGTTGCAGTTGGAGTAAGTTCAAGGTTTTAGGGAACTTGAACCCAACCACAAAAGGATGTGCAACCCACAAAGACTATTTTTGAAGTAATTGGATGTATAAGTAACCCTTCATTAGCAAGAGTAGATCTGGCATGTGCATTGGGGTCCGGTCAAATTGGTGCATGTACACGCATGCATATGCTCAGAACTCTTAAACATGTTTCAATCACATGAGTTAATGATTAATTAATATTAATGGATAGGTTGACCTGATATCAGATTCTTTGTCGATTGAAATATCGACCATTCAGATTACAGCACGAAGGAAGTCTCAATCTATGCCCCTTCACGATACTTATGAACTGATCTCGACCATCCAATCTTCAGCAATCATTCAGTGAATTGACCCTAAAATCGTGGCGTACGGATGCACCTGATCAGTGCGCTTCTCAATCAGGTCTAAGGCAAGTCTTGAGTCCGATTCAAGAATGAGGAATCGGCACCTCTTATTTCATACCAGGCTAAGTCCTTGACAAATTCCCCAAAGGCCCGCCCTTTAGCATCATCCCCTGTACCAAGTTTGCTGCAAAAACCACCCATCCAATCCCCATAATTGTTACGAAGCACCCCCCCTCCTACAGTAGATACACCCGAGATGACTTGTGCTTCGCCATCAGTATTTAGCTTAAACCAACCAGGAACAGGAGCTTTCCATCCAATGAGAGCTTCAACTCTAGGCGTAAATATTGCTGAGATCGCTCTTCGGTTTCACTATCTCGAAAGGTTCAGCCCATTTTCGAGCCTTTATAGTTACATAACTGTGGAGAGTTGAGACTCGTCTAATATAAACTTTCGATAATTAAAGATGCTTTCATTTCTACACTTCCCCAAATATACCCTTCGATTATATATTCCGTCGCTGTCTTAATTCATTCTTTCATCTTTTTGTTAACAATCTCAAATGTCTCCTCTAACTCTTTCTATCAAAATCCTTGTTTTCACAGATCATGTGAAGCAAAATATACATTTTGATTATAAAAACAGAATGATTCATACAACTATCTTGGGGCACCCTATGATCATGTAAAATATGTTTTTTTTTTTTGGTAGGGTAGCACCCCATATCCCCACCCATTTATGCGACGCATCATTTCGTTTCATTTCATTTTCATGTTAACAAGAACAACCCAACTTCCTTCCTTTCGTGGTTTCTAATTCTTGCCATGCTGAGCTGAATTATTGATCAAATTATTGACCGCCAGCTGTGCCCTCTTGCCTGGACGACAGCTATGCAGTTGCCCTGGGCCCCACACTTATTATTGTTATTATTAAGATTAAACACACTTATTATTACCACTGTGATTATTGTTATATGTATTGCAATGAATACGAGATTATTTCAAAAGTTGAGATTGTTATATATATTATCTAACTGTTAAATATATTATAATATTATGGTTATGTCTTAGGTACACTCACTTTTTTGGGTGCATTCAATGCACCCGCCTCATAATCGTCATTCTGAGCAGGCGATTCATGTGAAAACGATGTCAATCATCACTTGTGGTATGATGAACAAGAACCACATGAATTTGTACAAAAATCATTCAAGATTCATTTTAATTTGAATGATTCAGGGTTTAGGAATTTAGGGTTAGGGTTTACAATTTGGGATTTTGGGTTGAGATTCAAAATTGAAGGTTAATAGGTTAGGATAATGGGTTGATTAGTTGGGATTCTATGTTATATCATCATATTAGACTAATACAACCCATTAAATTTCAAAATTTAATGTATTATGACCACTTTTAGAGATGGGTGCACTGAATGCACCCAAAAAAGTGAGTGCACCGAAGTAGCCACCTTAATATTATATATATATATATACATATATATGAATTTAATGCAATATCAAATATATCGTTTGGTATGTGTAATTGTATCTTTAAGTTGTGAATAAAAAAAATATATTCAAACTTATCATGAAAGCTAAAATTGTTCAATCACTCAATTTGAACCATAGTTTTATGGTAATAAAACAAAAACAAAATATATATTTTAAACAGCATATCGTAACAATCTCACTAAACTGCAAACGATAGCAATCAACTCCTTTCTTTCTTTTTTTAAATCGTTGGTTCTGTTTTTTAACATAATCGTTCGTTCCTCCCAAAGAAAAAAAAATGGAATATTAATAAAGAAAAAGAAACAAACCGTGGGATCCTTCCTTCCTTCCTGTTCCTTCCACTTACAGATAAGGGAACTGTTACCCTTCGATGTGACCGGTCGTATGCAGAATATATATTTGTATGTAGTTACTGTATATACGTTAGCGATGTTTGTTTGGATTAAACGTATTCTTATTTTATAACTAATACCTGTTATAATTTAAGCCATCTTTTTTCTTGGTTCATCAGTACATTGTATAGGTCGTTTTGTTTCTAATTGCAATCGTTTTTTTTTTTCTAGGTCCGGCTGAATTTCAGGATGTAACAGTTTATTAACATATGTATTTTTTTTTTTAAAAAAAAATCATGAAGATTATTGATTTGATATGATTAGGAAGGAGGCGATTTAACATTACTTTTCTGTTTTTACCCAAAAATCATTGTTGATTACAGACAACAAAGTTCGGATGGGTTGTGTTTCGGAGGGTGAAAAGAGTCTTTTTCCACGCCACCTAATCTATCACAATTGATTTCTAATCACTCAGTTAGTCAATTGATTTGTTTGTTTATTTTTTTATTTTTATTTTTTTACCTGAGACTTTCTTTCTGTTCTTACTACCATCCTAAATAACTTGGTTGGGTAACTAATGTCAGACAAACCGGCCCATTAAGTTAATTTTAATAAACTCACTTTGACACACTTCTCAAAGAGGAAACAAACTCAACTAGTAGAGGGAAAGTAACTTTCTAACAAGTGAAGTTAAATTATTCAAGAGATCGAAACTTTCACTTAGTGGAGCAATATCAATCGTATATAATATTTAGTCCAACTGCAGTTAAATAAAAGTGAGGGACGACTCCTCATACCAAGTTCGGTTCTGCCCACCGTCATTTCAGATAATTGTTTCCCCATAACAAATTGGGTCGATCGAGTTAAATCAAAATTGTTTGCAAGTGAATTCGCTAATTACACTGAGGTATCTATATTATATAAGCTAATTTGGAAGGAAGTGTCTGCAGATAGATATGAAAGTTTTTGCCGGAATCAGAAGTTGATGACATGTTGTTCTGCTGCAGCAGGGTAACCAAACAAACAAAATATGCAAAAACCCTATATCAGAAATGCATTTCCATGTTCAAAAGTTGCCTTCCCTCATCCACCATTTCTATCCACTTTCCCTTCTTTTTTTCCCCCTTATATGATAAAAGCACAAGTTACTGTCTTTTCATCCATTTTCACAAAACTTGGATGGATTCCTGTGGTAAAAGAATGTTATGCCTAATGTAAATCTCATATCGATAAAGAACGATTGGACTTTTAACCCACAAAGTGAACATAAACCTACAAGTGAAAAAAAAGTTACATAATTTTTTTATTGAAAAGAGAAGCACATAATAGATACAACTTCTTTTCTCCCAAGTCCCAACCCCCAACCTGGAAAATGTAAACCCCAAAAAGAGGAACGAGGTCTACTGCTCTAACCAAATAACCAAAAAAAAAGAAGGTAAAAACGTAAAAAGAAAAAAAAAGGGAATTCCAAATTCCAAAGCTTAACGAAAAGTAACAAAGTTCAGTGAACAAGTGTGTAAAAAAAACAGTGACGGTAAATTTACACACTCTCACAATTTTAAATCCACTTTTTAGGTTATTTTTCCTTCTTTTTTTTTTTCACCCTCGCTCGCGCACACACACTTTCCCCTTATCTCGTCTCGCTCAATTTCATCTCTCCAATCAATCTCTCGTATCTTTTTTTTTTTTACCGTCCAAAACTCGGTGGGCCACTTTCTTCTGAGTTTCATCGACTCGGGGGTTTCTATCTTCCATCGTCTTCCAGACCGAGTCCGAGTTGAGTTGACTCAGCCTCCCGACTCATCTCGCGAGCTGCCACGCCGACGTCGCGATGAGCGGCCTCGTGTGCCACCCGAGCATCAGCGCCCCGTTGTTCTCCTCCACCCTGTACCCGTCGCCGCCGGCGAACAGGGCGAGCAGCATGCTCGCCTGCTTGTACGCGTTCGACCCGAGGTGAACCGGGTCGAACCCGGCCGATTCCATCCGCGCCCTCCACTGAGTCAACGTCTCGTGCCGCTCGACTCGGTCCCCGCCTTCGCACGCCACCACGTTGCAGATCTGCCTCCCGAGGTACAGCTCCGACATCACCAGGTCCTGACTCGCCGTCGTCGGCGACGACGGCGACGCCGCCGAGCCTTCCAGCGAGTCGAACAGGCTGGAGTAGTAGTGCAGCGCCTCGGTAAACCTGTCGACAAACACCGGCCCGTTGTGGTTCGCTTCCTGCTCCACCACCGTCACGATCTTCGGCTTCATCGCCTTGATCGTCGACAGCACCTTGTCCATCCCGGCGCTCCGGCCCAGCAGGCGGTGGAGCTCGAACACCGAGTTCACCGCCACCGCCTCCACGTCGGCGGGGCGCAAATCCAGCATCTCCGGCTCCAGATCTGCCAGGCTGTTGGCCACGAACCCTCGGAATTCGAATTCCACGCCGATCGTCTCCGCCAGATGGGCCAGCTTCCACCCGACCTGCTGCAAATTGTCCGTGTTGTTGGGCTGGGGCGGCCCGATTCCGGTCAGCCGGAAGGCCGGCGGCCCGCCGGGGCGTAATGCTAGGGCCTGCATAAGTGCCGGCCACTGCATCCCCTGTTTCAGCCCGAAATCGATGACGTGGACCCGATTGGCGGTGGCGAAGGCCTCGAGGATCGCCTGGTTCGCCGTGAAATGGGCGAATTTCAGGTAAGGGCAGGTCTCGTAGAAGTGCATCTCTAAGGTATCGGAATAGGAAGGGTCGAGGCAGTCCTGTGGGTAGATCTTGTAAATCCGCCGAGCCAGAGCTTCGGCGAAGTAGGTCGCGACTTTCCTCATGGCGCCGGTCTGTGACGCCGCGAGCAACCCCGTGTGCTTGACGAGCGCGTCGGCGAGCTTCACGTTGTCCTGTTGGACCGCCTCGGCGCAGGCGAGGAGGGTGTGGACGAGCCTGACCCCGGCCTCCTGCGAATCTATCAGCACCACCGGCCGAGTCGGCTCGGCAATTAGAGCGGAGGAGGGAGCAGCAGCTGCAGCAATCGGCGGTGGTGGCGAGGACGAGGAAGAAGGCGAGGATACCGCCGCCGGGGCCAAGAGGGAAGAACCACCGGAATTTGAAGAACCACCAGCTGAAGTTTTCATCCTCTTCCTGCAGCTATCCTTGTCCGATTCATCTGCTTGCGGGTAAGCAGCGACGCCGGGGATTGCTCTGAGGTCGTACTCGGAATCGTCTCTGAAGACCGCGGACTTGTGGGACTGTGTGGGGGTGGAGAAATCCATTGAAGAAATCGAGGAAGAGCCACCTCCGCCGCCGTTTCCGCCAGCGGAATGGCTATTGTTGTGGAGGACAGCTGTGGGGTCGGCGGCGGAGGGAGGCGGCGGGTTGGTGAACTCCGATAACATGCTGTCGACCCAGCCGGAGAGATCCGAAGGGTTGTAGTGAATGGTGTCGCAGGCGAGATGAGAAATCCCGTCGTCTTGCGCCGTCCCCATGGCCATCTCCAGCTGCTCAAGCTTCTGGGCGACGTCGGCCATGTCCGACGACCTGACCTTGTAACCCAAAACAGCAAGCAATTCATCCATCCCGCTCGCATCCTGGTCTTCCTCCCAGAGCTTCCCTTTCCCAATCCCACCACCACAGCTCGCCGCCATTGAAGCCGATGCAGATTCATCCGGGCCGCCACCGAAACCGCAGGTGGCTTGCTGATGATCCCTCTTCATCGTTGCGCTTGCCTTTTTCTCGCTCCTCGTCTTCACTAATTGCTTCCTTTATGGCTTTCCCTCACTTTGGGGGAAATCTGTGCATAAACCCGATCTCGGGACCAACTTTCTTTCAGTGAAAAATAAATCCAACCAGAACCAGTGAGAGAGAGAAAGAGAAATGGAGGGAGGAAGGTGAGAGACAGAGCATTAGGAAATCGCCATGGGAGAGGTGAAACGAAGCCCTTTATTATTTGATGCTGGAGTTTTTTTTTTTTTTTTTTTTTTTCCTTTGCTGGATTCTAATTGGTTTATTATTATTTATCTTATTTTTATTGTCCAATTATTATTATTTAGTTTTGGAGGGGGAGATGATAATTGATAGGCAGGGCAGGGGTAAAAGAAAACAAAAATCAAATGATGCTCCTGGTGGTTCCCAATTGATAACATCAAGGAAGGAGAGGGTAAAACGGTAATTAGATATGAATATAATAAAAACTAGAAAAGAAAAAAAGGGAAACAGAATTTGGAAGAGAGAGAGGAATAAAAACAGAGAGGGGCCAGGGGGGGCTGATGATGGGATTGGGAGTTGTAGTGTGTGAAGAGATAAGGAACAAGGGGAGGGTCATAATATTGAAGCTTTTTTATTTGTTTATTTTTTTTAGTTTTAGGGTTGTTTTGGATTTTGGAATCGGTGTATTGTAATGCATTACTATAATATAAATACATTGATTGATACTATATTTTGATATTATATTGTTTAATTATTGATATCTTAGTTTATGAATTTATTTACGTAAAATGAATTTACGAGGAAAAATATTATATTTGCCCATAATATACTACCGATTTAACAATCATAGGTGAAATAGATTTTAACGGATTCTTTGAGTATATAAATGAGCGAACAATTAGCGAAGAAACAACACATATAATCGAATATTTGTGTTCATAGACAGTGTAATGTTGTGTTACTTGAGATGCAAAATGTTGTATTAGTGTGCGAATATTTTTATAGAAAAAATATATTAATAATTTAAAATTTAGGGTGATGACTTCCCTCATAAAGGGGAAAAAAACGGCTCAAGATAGGGTGCATAACCATAGGTTATGCACCCATCAATAACCAAATCTGGACCCTTCATTTAGAAAATTCAGATCTAAGGATGGAGAATTAAAGGTCATTTTTATTTTCACTAGCTTTCTTGATTGACTCATATCTTTTTCGTTTTAACTCGGATTTTAATTTTTTTTGCACAGATGGAACGAGGTCATCGTGCTCTACAAAATGAGATCAATTTTCAATATTTTTTGAGAAAAAAAATTCTGGCCTCTCGGTACCAACTGCATACCATATGGTATCTTCTTCGTTTTTAATTCGTTTTTGAAAACGTTTGCACAGCAGGGACGAGTTCATCATGATCTATTGGATCTACAAATTTCGGGGTGAACAAATTACAAGACAAAAAAATACCACACAATACCATGCAATACCACCCTGGTACGGGGTGGTATTTTATGGTATCTTATGGTATACAATGTTTAAAAGTCGTAAATGATAATTAATATACTTCTACTATCATGTATTCAACCATCCTACAGTTTTGGTTTGTGTCATACCACCATGGTACGCTTTTCAAACCATAGGTATGCTCTTATTTCAATACCAGTCAATACCATATGGTATAGACTGGTAAAAAATGGCTCAATTTTTTTTGTTCGAAAAATATATCAAAGGGGATATCATATTGAAGAGCACAATTAATCTGATCTAATTGTGCAAAAAAAATTAAATTTCGACTTAAAACGAGTGAGAAATTGTCCGTTAAAGATTAAGGAGGGGAAAATTAAAGGCTTTCAAAGAGAGAATGCTGATGTCATGCTGATATGAGCGGGTTACTCATAGTTACTCACCATAAGGTTACTGACCTGATCAGTTCCCGAAAAGAACGATGAGCTTCATTAAAGATTTTAATAAATTGATCATGCACAAAATTATATGGTTGAATTTATTTTATGGACATGATTAACTCCCTTATCAGTTATAACTGATTAATATGTGGTAGTTGTAGATTTTCAAAATAGGGTAAAGTGTAATATCAGCGGCAACACAGACATTTGTAGACCGGGGAAAACAAAGTAGTAGATTTGTAGTATTTGGCCCGTTGTTAAGTTATTAGTTGATAATTGATAATAATCTAAATTGATTTTAAGCTATGTTTCCAAAACTGAATTGAACCAGAAAAATTAGTGGTTAATAGTTCAATAATTATCTGTTATAAAATCATTGGTTAATCGTTGATAGAGCATTTAAAATAAAAGACATATATAATATAAAAAATTATAAAGTAAATTTATCATTAACCATAAAAAATTTCGAATTCATATCGTCTATCACCAGTTACAATAAAACATTCAAACTATCTCACAAAAAACATTTAAATTTTTTTTTATTAAATTCAAGTTAGTAATAAAGGTGACAATCCGCAATGGACCTCATAAAGTCATAGGGAGGTTTAGAAATGTAGAAAAACAACCATAAATAAACAAGTGATTGAGGTTGATTGATCTTAGTTTACTTTAAAATATTTTTTCTTAATATTTTTTGTGATTGAAATAGTGAATTTGTGAACCAGCCAAACCAGAGATGGTTCAACTGGTTTCATATTAAATCGTTAAAAAATAATTTAGTACATTCCTAACCATCCGATCAAATTAACTGAATCACTATTATAACTGATTTTGTTGTTATTATTATTAATCCAGTTCCGCTCTTATAACAAAGATTTTAAGTTATCCTGTAATATTAATTAAATTATGGAGAGTAAGAGCCGTGGCAGAACCGCAATGCCAAAAGAGATGAGATGCTCCCTCCCCTCTCTCTCTCTCTCTCTCTCTCTCTCGTGTTCGTCGATACCAATGTACTCTCTCAATCACAAATTTTATATATTTTTCTGTATATATACTTAACTCTGCTGCCCAGTTCTTGTTTTCCATCCTTATTTTTCCTTTCACTTTCCTATAAATGTACGTGAATCTGCATAACGAGCAGAAAGTTAGAGGCCACTACATATCAATTAGGTTGGTTTGGAACTTTGGAAGTGTTAATGGAAAAATCATGCTAAAAATAACTATATTAAATGATATTTGTTCAAATTTTTTACTTAGTCGAGTGTGTACAATTTTAATTCGAAAGATTTTTATGGGTATGAGTAAAATTCGACTCTGAATATTGTGGGTGATGGTGGACATGGTTCTCACTATTCAATATGGACCTGCCCGAATATGTATTTTATTTAAATATGATTATTATTTTTATCAACATATTTTATATTTACCATACATATATAATAATTTCATGAAATTGCATTGTGTTTGATAAATTTTCGTTATTATATTAATTTATTGTTGTAATTTGTCACCTATGTAATGTCCATATACGATACGTGTAATTGTTAACATATAGGTTGAAATTATAAAGACAATTATTATCCATGGATCACATGGATATCTGGAATCCGACCGGATATGAGTTTTGTTTTTATATTCTACCTGGTTCTTATATGAATATGAGTTTAGGTAGAATCGGAATAATTTCAGATAAAGTAATGGATGTGCACTATATGATCCCGACCCGACCAGTTGTCATCCCTAATTTCATGGAAGTTCAAAGTAGTGAAAGTTAGAATGGGGTGATAATGATACACTGCAAGAGCTTCTCAAGATTGAGTCTAAATATTGGAAGATGGGGCTATTGGCGCTCATCTGACCACCTTCCAATGTTTTTCTCGTGAGAGTGGCGGACCCAGAAATTTTACAAAGGGGTGTACTTTTTCAAAAAATAAAGTAAAATAAAAATTATATAATTAATAATTAATAACAATTATATAATTCTTAAATAAAAAAAATACCCAACTCGTACAAGTTAAACAAAATCAATGATGTATTTTTATATTCTAAAAATTTTATAAAATACACTTGGTGTCTACACTGCTCAACAAATTTGTCTCGGTATATCCTACTAGACAATCATTCACGAACTAACACATATCTAACTTTTAAGTTTCTTCTTGATGTAACTCAAAACAGAAAAGACACTCTCAACACTTGCCGTTCAACCATAAAATCAATATAAATTAAGGGTAGCTTGAAATGATTAATTGTTAGGTTTTGAAAATAATTAAAAATAGAGAATAGGGTTTTGCTATGACACAATGTTTAGAATAGAACAACAAAAAAGTTGTAGCCTAATGGAAATTATATTTATTAGTAATCGTAATGTCCCATGTTTGAATTACTCAAACTACCACTTATATTCTCATATGCAAACTACAAATGAGAGTAGGATAATTGTTCTTCCAAATTTCAGGGTGTCCCGGACTTTTTATTATAATTTTTTTGTCTATACGTAAATTACCACCAGGGGTTGGATAATCGATCTTCCAAAATTTAGGGGTGTTCCTAAATGCCCCTGGGTCCGCCCCTGCACGATATGGATACACACATTATAGCTTTATATACAAAAGAAAAAAAATGGGAGGAGCTATAACCTCTTCCACAACTGGCTGAAATAATTTTTGTTGATATGATCTAATAGCAATAAATCATGGGGTTTATTGTTTGTGTAAATTTTTAGGTAAAATACATCTTTATAATCATAATTTTAGCGATTTGGCTAATAATAGTCACTTTTTTGGAAATAGGCAAAATAGCCAATTCCATCTAATTCATTGACGATGTCAAGTGACGACGTTGTTGACTTGGTGACATTTCTAGACAACAGTGTCACATAGATTAATGAAAAAAATTAATAAAAAAACCCGATTATCAAAGGGCCCAAACCCCACTTCCAGCTAAACCCGACCTCTATCTTTGTTTTCTCCTCGCCGGCAAACTGTCCTCGAAACCAGCTGCCACCCTCCTATGAGCGAAGAGATCATCATCCTACTACTCCTCGTCCTACCGGCATCCTCCTCCTCCTGCCACTTCGACGTTGCCAAACCCAGGAATCAACAACACAA